GGGTGTTTTTTCCTATAAACTCTTGCAGATAGCCATTAAGCACCTACTTGATGACATGCTCTACCAAAAGATATTGCTCGTTTCCAAACATTCATTCATTTACTTGCCGTTCATCAGAACCATTATGGCACCTTCGATTGATATTCCCACAAAACCATTAAGGTTTTTTGATATCCATACATCCATAAAGTTGAATATTTTTCGTTGTTCAGGAACTGAACAAATATCCACACTATATTCACAGCGATTAAGAAATTCCCAAATATATGGCTTAAAGCTACCAGCAAACCTATAAAACCTGCAAACAAAACTACAAATTTGCCATATTTTTCTTTTTTCACGAGTACACATTCTAGGTTATATTTATTGCATTTCAAGGAGTGACACATGTGTGGGATCTGTCAACTCTTGGTACCAGTCACAAAACATCCTCTGAAGGTTTAATTCCATGCTATTCAATCACAACACGGTGACTTGTGTGGTTGTCAGCGGCCATTTTGTGAGGGTGCGACAGGGTTGGCAGATTGTGCTTTAATATCCCGTTTCACCCTCCTGGTTCCACTGGAGTAAGTTCCGCCAACTGTTGAAATATACTCTACTATGCTTTATAAGTCTATTCGTGACATTTTTCCCAAAATCATTGCACAACACTTGAAAAAATGCAAATGAAAATTTTAAATTATTTCCATGACGCCGCAAAATAGCTCCGTCGGTACCTTGGGTTATACATCTTGACAGTAGGGATGTTCGATAGGATCCTATATTTAGAAGTATCAATACATTTCACGAGTATCGTCATCTTTCGATCCGGACTGTGCCAGAAAGAGTGACTGCCATTTGGCTGCGACATTACCCTGCCAAATCAGACATATCTTTCATCATTTTCAAAGAAATTGTACAAAATCTTCAAATTTGTGAAGTTAGCGAGTTTCACTTCATATGTTCTTACCAGACATGCCCAAATCATCAGTTGCTGCCGTGATATTGAACCCGACCACTGCATCCCCACGGCTAGGCGACCTGTATGTTAAATTTGTGTTGATAGGGCAGCGGGTTATGCTATAAATCATATGTCACAGTGTTTGTGCACTGATTGCAACGGTTAGATGATACCAAAAATATTTTCATAAATAGGAGATCTTTCCCATTCCGGATCGAACAATCTACCAAAGATGCTTATAATCATGATACCTAGTAAATTTTCACGAAAAAGATGCAAATCCAGCAAATGTAAAAGATTAATTTCGCACCCTCCACCACGGGACGTGATCGTCGTTAGACTTGCCAACCCTCGAGTGACAGGTAGATATCCCCGCCAGTCAACGACCACCAGTCAAAAACACAAACAATAAACATTACTAGTTTTGATGATTTTTGGACTTAAAAGGACATTATTTGTGAAACATTTTTCATAATTTTTTGTCTATGTCCATAGTAATTCCATTATGCATCAGGGAGATATAGGGATTGACACGTCTTACACATTATCTGTGTCTTTGGATGGAGAGGACATAATGTTTTTATTGCTTTGAAGAAATTCATTAACCCATAAATTAATAAATGATTACTATTATGACGTAAAGGAAGATGAGGAATTGAATGGAATGTATTTTATATTATATTCTTGCAAAATACAGACAAATCCACACTATTCAACAGGTATATTGTATATTGAAGCTGGTAAATTCGAGAGTGTCATGCATTAACAAACGTCCAAATCTGCTGCCAAATTTAACAGCTAGAAAATCGACCTATTATTTGCCGCATTCCCATTCGCTGAGGGGGATAACGGATTGTTTAATGTAAACCTATAACATATATCAAAATACATGAAAGTTGTCCTATTTTTTCTGTACAAAAGCATCATGTTGGAATCAAAAAGTGGTCTTGTTTATAATAGAGTCGAATTCACTAATCTTCAGAGACCTTTGACAGCTTCTGTCAATTTGCATTTCGATAAAGTATTTTCCCATTGGTCCATAATATTAATGTTGGTGAAATCGGCCCTATATCATGTAATCTACTCTATTTTTTGTAACGGTCGGTCATAGACGTATTTTTGATCTAATCCTGATACAACACAGAAACCCGTTAGGCTTTTACCACTCTACCTCATCGACAATCACCCCCCTTTCGTTGTAAATCGTCCTGAACCCAGTAATTAGCTTTTGAATATCTTCCGGCTACCACATATTTAGATATTTATAACTGGAAGAACAAGCTTGGACTTCATCAATAAGCAAATGGTCATATAAGCGGCACGAAGATCTTTTATTGCGTGCGGTCTATAATTTAAGTTGCCAAAATTTCGTTTTGTTATCTATCAGCATCTATCAGAGGTTCGAAATCTTCGAACAAAAGTTCCAAGTAAACGATATAGACGACGAATAGTAAGTTCACTTCGCGACAAAAATTCTTTTTGTGAACTTCGTGAATAGTTTTTTAGGAGGAATAAAAAGTAAGGGACTTCTTTAGCCGGAACAGTCCCTCTGTCTATCTGTTGCTAAAAAGGGGTTTTCCAAGGTTTCTGGGAAGATTATCGGGACTGCCTATAAAGTTAAATCGGAGCGATACTTTCGAAGATATAGAAACGGGCCAAGAATTAGCGGATAGACAGACATTTAATTTTTCATACCTCGTGTGTCATGGCCTTGTGATTGAAATCTTGCTCGACTGTGTAGTTTACTGATTCTCTCAACAGAGGGTTGTTATGCGCTTAGCTATGTCGTTGCCGCTTCTGCTGTTTGATATAATAAATATGTCAATATTTCTGTAAAAGGTCTCATTGGAGATAATATATGGGATCTTAGTTATTTTTACGCAAGATTCTGTTCTGCAAAATGCAGAACTTGCACTACATGCACAATTATTGCTCTAATATTTTTTGTGTAGTCGAATTGAGGTTCTGTCTAATACAAGGTCAATAGTGATTTTACTTCTCTTAGTCTGTACTCTCCCTTTGGTCCTAACATACATCAACTGGTTGCGCAACATGCATCGGTGATTTATCTGTTGTATTTTTCAAGCTCGCCTTCGTACCTATTAGAGTGGAAGTTGTAATTGCCCGTCTTGATGAATTGAAAAATTACCGTTCGGATTTTAGTCGAGCATTGCAAGACGTCCATTTCCCATGACAAATTATACAGTAGAGGTCATACAGGCGTTGTCAGGTAATTTGGAAGGTTTTAACTATGATAATCAGACGATAACTTGCTGTTGTGATATCCTTTTTAAGGGTGTGGAATAAGCCTTGTGTTTGGTTGGCAAGTATACTCGTACATATCAAGGAAAACTGATGAACATAAAAGCAAGCGTTTTCACCTGGTCATTTGTCTCATTCTTATTTCGGCTCTTCATTTTCAAAAATTATATATTATATTGTTGGATGTTATATCACGAAAAACCATGTCACTCATTTCTACCGCTACAGATGAACATCTCTCGAGTAATCCTTGCGACTGCCCTATGATGACATAATATCTCCACGGTCCAGGGACAGCCTTGCCCTCACTTCCTCACCGCCAAATAAATAATGGGTAATTTTTTGCTAGTATCTTTTTGGCAACACTGTTTTTGACAGATGACGCGTGAATCGTGTCTTGTTTCATTGTCAAACTTGTTCATTTTGGTCTATAATTTAACCATGAATCGACTTACGAACGAACAACGCTTGCAAATTATTGAATTTAACTATCAAAATTCATGCTCGGTTAAGAGAGTGCATCGAGCACTGCTTCCAATTTATGGGCAATTTGGTCGGCCTACTGAGGGAGCTATTCGGAAGCTTGTGACTAAATTTCGAACCCAGTTTACATTATTGGACATTAAACCACCAACACGCAGACGTAGAGTGAGGACTGAAGAAAATATTGCGGCTGTATCCGCCAGTGTTAGTGATGACCGTGAAATGTCTATTCGCCGCCGTTCGCAGTATTTGGGCCTCTGTTACTCCACTACGAGGACAATTTTGAGACAGGATTTGGGTGTAAAACCTGATAAGATACAGCTGGTGCAAGAATTGAAGCCACACGACCTCGCACAACGTTTCCAATTTGGTGAATGGGCGCTAGCAAAGTTGGAGGAAGATCGACATTTTTATCGAAAAATTGTGTTCAGCGACGAAGCTCATTTCTGGTTGAATGGGTACGTTAACAAGCAAAATTGCCGCATCTGCAGTGAAGACCAGCCAGAAGCATTGCAAGAGCTACCAATGCATCCCGAAAAAATCACTGTTTGGTGTGGATTGTGGGCCGATGGCATCATCGGGCCGTACTTCTTCAAAGACGACAATGGCCGGAACGTAACTGTGAATGGCGAGCGCTACCGTGCGATGATAACAAACTTTTTTTTGCCCAAAATGGAAGAGCTGGACTTGGCTGACATGTGGTTTCAACAAGACGGTGCCATATGCCACACTGCACACGAAACAATGGCCCTATTGAGAGGCGAGTTCGGTGAACAGTTTATCTCACGATTTAACGCCGTTGGACTATTTCTTGTGGGGCCATGTTAAGGCTAATGTCTACAGGGATAAACCAGCAACGATTGACGCACTGGAAGCCAATATTGAAGCATTTATTCGTGAGATACCGGCCGATATGTTGGAGAGAGTGTGCCAAAATTGGACCTTGCGCATGGGCCATCTAAAGCGGAGCCGCGGCCAACATTTACATGTAATAATCTTTAAACATTAAATTATATCGACCGGTCTATCGACTCAAATAAAGATTTAATTCTTTTTTTAAATTTTTTGTGTTTTTTTTTTAAATCAAATCCTATACCTCTTAGAAAATCACCCGTTAGAACGTAATCTAATTGATGTCAAAATTGGGAGATTCAGAGTCAACCTGTTCAACGCCATTTTTGCACATTGGATGATCTAACGTTGTAGAACGCCGAGGTCTTTCCTCTAAGCAGCTAAAACCCTAGTTTGACTCCAATGTTCCATAGCGAATTACTCTCTATGCAAACACGTCGTTACAAAAAGCACTAAATAAAGCATGTTCTGTATAGTTAGTGGAAATATCGCGATTGAGCGCAAGTCAGATAGTAGTGATGTTAGGAATAGAATGAAAATTACAAGGCAGCAAGCGGATCTAACTGCCGATCGCGGGTATGTAATCGGTAATTAGGCTGGGCAGGTTAGCGGTAATGATTGCTTGTTTGGATTGTGAAGAGCAGCTGTTCTGCTAGATGAACAAAGGATTCGACCACGAATATGCTCACTTGGTTGGCTGGATTTTCAGAGGCATTTTAATATCTGGCTCAGTAGAGCATTTTTTAAAGTAACATATTTTGAATTCTCTATCGGACAGCCTATCGCTATGTCAACTGGCCTTGCTCTTCAGAGATTTCCTCCATGATGCCGCCGCGCGATGAGTCTGCGAGGCATACTCTCTGGCTTCAGCCTCCCATCCTAACACTGCCGAACTTCCAAAACTGGCCGGTATGATCGCTCCTTTGTTCCTAGGGTGACTTGATTCAGAAACAATCTGCCCTATAAGGTCCTTATACCAGTCGCGGTGCCCTGGTATTTAGGTTTCTGTCTGCGCGGCTGCTTCAGTGTATAAAAAATGTTTTTATCACTTCTGGAATAACTGCGATCCTACTTGGCGATATGGCTGTGATGGAAATTGTATGTGACCGTCCAAATACAGCATGATGCTGGGTTATCTATTTCGTAGTCAGTCAATGATTGGAGAAAGGCTAATTGGGCATCTGGTATATCTTAGTTTTATTAATTCTAGCATGGATCATCAGCCATCCAAAGAGTGTATTTTCGATTGACAGCAAATGCTTTTTTCCAGTTGATCTGATATTACCTTTGCAAAAATGACGGCTAATTTTATCTTGTCCTAAAAACAATGTCATGTTTCGTGAACAGAATACTCGAAGTACTCGTAACTGGAAAGCTTTGACAACAAATGTAACAAAGAAAACTGACACTTTCACTATCGAAAATCGTAATGATCTCTATGTTAAGGACAGACCAATAAATCATAATTAGCATATTTTTATTACTACCTAAAGTAGTATATCATCTTGTATTAGAACTAACACGCAAAGTAAACAGAAATTAATTTATTGCTATTTGCCCGTTAGTAAGACCAAGTCATGTCATTTGTCAGTAAATAATCAAATACTGGAGATGTGGGTCAAAATCTACAATGGAAAATGTTCATATGGCAGTCAAAAAGGCGCACTAGAAGATAAAGACGTAGACAAGTAGAAGTCAAAGATCTTATTGAGATAGAGGATTCAGTAGGTGTTACTCTCCGAACCTTGGCCTAATGTCGCCTTCAGACATGGAACCAATGCTGACTCCAACTTGGTTTGATATTCTATGTTGGAGCGAGAAAAAAAAACGGAGTATTCATACAAACTTGTAGAATATGATACAGGATGCGTTTGATGAATTCCGCAGTCTGGCGCTTCAGTCAGTTGATGTCAGTACTTTTATTTATTATACAAAAAAGGCAAAAAAGAATATTGGTCTCAATGACAAAATCAGATTCAGCTATAGTGGTGTAGATTTTGCAGTAATATACAGGATGTTCCCTATTGACTATTCCAGGATATGATCTCTGCCGTTTTTTTAAGAAAGTACTCCAAACATTAATCTTAATTTCAACATATTATATGTTGTTTATTTTTGTAGCGTTGGAAGAGCCACAATATATCTTCTATACTCTAGGCGCTGAAGAAAGAAACTAAACCCAAACAAATACACGCATATTGCTCGTGAGTGAGTGTTTAGGCGCAGGAGACATTACAGGACCGCATCAAGACATTATGGGTAGTCATCAAAAATTTCATACAAGATAATTATTATCTTTTACAGTAAATTTCAGTTAGAGATTCACAAATGAGTTAACTACACTTTTTAGTTATTAGTAAGTAAGCTGCGCACACTCATTCAGAAGAGGAACTTGAATCTTCTGAATCGTTTAAATGAATTATTAGAGGTTCAATTTGGGTATCGATGACATTGTCCAAATCCCACATTTTGACCTCAACCTTCTCCCGAACGTGGCGGATACAGTTTTTCCATTCCTCTGCCGTAACTCTATTGACTGCGATGTGAAAGAGATTTTTAACATCAGAAAATTTATAAGTATTATTATTCGACGCCACGTATTGCTTTATGTTGGCCCAAATCAGCTCAATAGGGTTCAGCTCACAATGGTAGGGTGGCAGTCTCAAGACAGTTTTATTTTGTTTTTTGACCATTTCGTCGATCATTTTAAAATCGTAGTTGTATTTATGTCTATTGACTATACTTATCAATTCACCCTTGACCATTGTTTCATCAAAATCGATCTGTTTTGAGGCCAGCCATTGTTGTATGTTTGCTTTTTTAGTTGCCATTGTGGGAATTTTTTCTATTTTTCTAGAATGGTACGGGGCATTATCCAGTACAATAACAGCGTTATTCTCCAGCTTTAGTAACATTTTGGAGAACCAATTTTCAAAGGAATTGCCGTCCATCTCCTCATGATAGTCCCCTGTCTTTTTTGATTCAAAGGCCCACAGTGCTTCGGGAACAAAGCCGTCTTCACTACCTACGTGACAAATGATCAGCCGTTTGCCTTTTCCTGGAAATAAATTATTCCTTACACTATGGATTGATTAAATTTGAAGGAATGAGGCAATTGAGTTCATTTAGCTGAATTTAAGAGTCACGGAATGCTGATCAAAAACTGAAAAACGTAGAAAATTGAAGTTTGCAACTTCTCAAAACCCATTCAAAGCAAATTGACTGCACCCAAAAATGATAATAAATTTCAAAATAACGCTTAAAAGAGGGTCGAAGTTTTTTTCCTAATGACTACACTGCGAATGCACCATTTTTGGAGAATATCACACACATTATCTGCTATCACAGCATATTATTTGCCCGAATTTATCAAAATTAAATTGCCGGATAGATGAAGGAGCTTACCTGCAGGATTTTTCAATCCAGCCGAAAGACCGTCTAGAAAAGCCTGCCTTGATGATGTTACTGATTTGTCGACCCAAACTTTCGCTTGAGTATGTCCAGCATTCACCCACGTTTCGTCCAAATAGTAAATTTTTCTTTTTTCATCGCGAAACTTCCGAATCTTCCTAAGGTATTCCCTTCTCCACACAACAATTTCTTCTTTCTCTATTAACATACTGTTTCTTCCCCGTTTCAAGAATCGAAAATTAAGTTCCTTCGAAAGTTTTCGGAATGTGGTTCTTTTAAATGATGGAAGATCCTCATCAGCATTAACTAATCTTAATATCTTATCTACTGTAGGTATCTCATTTCGGAAGAAAAAATTATGCACTTTCCTCCTGATGGCAGTTCTGTCAAAGTCATCTACTCCGTCCGCTATCCTTTTTCTTGCAGGATACGGTTTTGGCTCAGAAAGTGAGTGAGTGCTCCTATATTCCTTAATGATCCTATAAACACTGGACCGACATACTCCAGAAATATGTGCTACCTTACATATAACGTCCACGACCAAATCGGGTTTTTCTTGAATTTGGTTTTTGTATATATTTAATATTATTTGTTTTTCATTTGCACTTAAATGTAGCTTCTTAGCCCTTTTTTTGGGTGGGGTTGCGCTGATGTCAACCACTTCGTCGGCTGTATCTGTGTCAGACATCGTATCTTAGGCAATATATAAACAAAACGTTCCACTCGCGAAAAACTAGTATACGCTACTGAATGCGTAATGCGTATGCAATGCAATCCTGTGCGTGAATTAACTGTTAGATGCCTGTCGTGTCATCTACAATCACGTTTACAAGTCCAAACCTGTGCAGATTCGTAGAGCGCCGACGACTGCTAGTGACTTTGAATTTGTCTGTAGATCGATGTTACTCCAGTCAATTTAGGTTCAAAGTGGATGTTTTCTAAACCAATTTGTTGTTCAAAAATATATCGATGATGTTTTGTACTGGGAGCTCATGAAAGATCAAGGTAACTTATTTTAACAGTCATCCTTTTTCTAGTCTCAAGATGACACGAAAAAGGGTCTGTGGATTCACTAGAAATACACTGCCGAGGATGTTTAGACCTAAAGTGACTGGAGGGATCTGTTCACGTGCTGATCACTGTTTACGTTTAATGTCTTTCTTCAGCGCCTAGAGTTTATTGTAACTAGCACACTTTTATGCTGCGCTCCTGCTTTTCTGGCACGAATGGAACTTTTCTGAATAATCTTTTGTTCGCTCTCTGGCAAACTAATTTGAAGTTGAAGCACTACAACAGAGTCGAACAACTTATCGTGAAAGTATGCCCGGCTTAGCAATGGCTATGTTTGCAAAAATTTACCTGAATCGAATGGAATCAAAGTTTTAATTCGACAGGTGAAAACGACAAGGAACACACACGAGAACGCTTGTCGATTGTTATCCAGGTCACTTGGGTATAAGGAGATAAATGAAAACATACCGAGTACGACTTGGCTTGCCTTGCCGACTGTTGAGAGATCGCAGACGGAACCGTTAGAAGAGCTGACAAAAACAAGAGCTAACGAAGCGGATATTACGTTAAATTCCATCGTTGGACTCAAAGCAGCAACACAAAAAAAACTATAGAAATACTTCTTGAAGATTGCCGTACTTGTAGTTATGCTGTCGATGTGCGTGTAATACTGTTGTTTCGAGTAAAAGGATTGCTTTCTTTTCGTGAGAAATTTCATGTGGAATTACACTAAAGCTCTGTTTGATACATAATCCCTTATCGCGATGTATTTAGCAGATGAACAAATGAAGCCACAAGTAACTATGATTATGCGTTTCGATTTTAGTTCATGAGCAACTGCAACCATCATAGCTTTGCATCTAACCATGATTTCTGAATTTTAACGCAGCGCTTTTAGTGTAGCTTTAGGTTTGTTCTAATCATCCGGGACTGCGTTTTCATGTACCATTCTACCGCAAAATGCTCAATTTCTGCCGTTTTTTTTATCTCACAAACTGCAATTAAAGACGAGCAGCCATTCACTTTTTCTTCAGTCTACCTCTTATTAGACGACTCGTCTACCATCTTCAGCATTTTTGATTTGGCCGCACTGATCAGGTAAACTAGTTGACAAAATATCCACATGTTTTTAGGTCATTAAAATCAGATAAGATTATATGAACGTAGTCACAATTATATGACAAAAAAATATATAGTGAATTAAGCAAAATCATTAGAGGTACTAACAATTTTGGCAAGTGCAGATACAAAGTTATGTTTTTTTTTTGTGGACAAGGCTTATTACGTTCTTAATAATTCGTTGTTTGACATATTTTTTATGATGTTTTTAATATTTGTGTGTTGCTTTATCGAAGTATCTTGGAATATTAAACTATTTATTTATTTATAGGACTTTATTATTTAATGTTGTTAATTGTTTCTAGGTTTCGTGTCTTGTTCGCCAAGTCCCTGTAAACATGGCGGCATATGCATGTCATCGCCCAAGGGTGAAAGCTACTGCAAGTAAGTAGAGTTTGAATTACATTAGCATTAGAGTATCACTCCAAAAGAAACTGGAGAATACTGATGATAAGGATAGCCGTGTTATTGATAATTCATGTCATATCGAAGTATAAAAAAATGTATTGAACTATATTCGAGAGCTTCTAATGTAGTAAGCGGAAATAACTCACCCGTATCTACTCAACTTCAGTAAAAAAATAGCAACTCAGTGTCTGTCACATTTATAGAATTTTCTTGGGGATTGAGTGTCATTTGAGGTATAATCTTCCTTGAGGAATGTTCAAGGACGGATTTAACATTACATAGTAGGCTGTAACAGTTGACACAGGTCTTTAAAATATTTCCAAAATTATAGAAATATGCACGATTTTCGACATTTTCAAAACCAAAATTTAAAAACTGATCATTTTGAAAATTGAAGATTCTGGAAATTTGAACATTTTGAAAAAATTCCAAATTGAAGACAACTGTTACGGCCTACTACTAAATATAATTGTCAATTCCTCCCTTGAACGTACTTCAAGGAAGCGTTATTGTTTGTTTAAAACCCAAGGAGTGATCATTCCTCAAAAGGCACTCAATCCTCAACGAACGTGACCCTTATAGATCAGTATACGAGTTGCAAGTTCTAATAGGAAAGTTTTAAATCTGCCTGTAAACGCTAATGAAAATTTTTACCGTCTCGTTAACTAAAATAGCTTAAATACCCTGGGCACAGCCTTCTTAACACACAAACTGGTTAAAGTATTAGAACTACCACCACTTAAAACTGGAGAAAACATTTTATTAGGTAGCTCATGTATTCATTTATTACATGCAATAAGAAAATAAAACAATACTCACAATCTGGACTTTGTATTGCAAGAAATTACAGAATCTTGGTTTAGTTGAATTACGATAGAAATAGCTGAATATATTCGACATTGGTAAAAAAAGATGAACTATGCATTAATAAAATGTAAATAAATTTTTAAACCTCCATTGTGGAAAAAATAAAAGTCAAAGGTTTGTGACGTATAGGTGGCACTGCGAATTTAAAGGTTTAAAAGCTCTATACAGAGTGCAGCGATATTTCATTGGTAAAAAAAGAAAAACAGAAATGGGGTAATGAACTGATACCTCATTCTTTTCTAGTAAAGTAGTTCTGATGGACCTGAAATAATTGGAAATTGACTAAATGAGCATATTGGAACTACTTTACTGAAAAACATATTGATTACACAATCAGATCCTCACCCATTTTTTGTTGAATTTGTTGGAACTTTTATTCTCTACAAAAGAGAATAGTAGTCGGTAGTAGAAAATATCATTACATTTACCTTTAACCTTAAATTTCTCGTAACCTGTGTACTATATGACAAAAATTTTATAGAAGCAAAATGATAAAGAATTTAATTTACTACAAAATTGTTTTCGATCAAACGCCTGTCATGATGGCAATTTGAACTTAATATTTTTAAGCAATAATCTAACGATATCATAAAAAATTACTATTGCCAAAATTGTAGGAAAATGTTACTTTTTTCCTGGCCTATATCGTGAACTTTTGAACTCTTCCATTGGAATTCAGAAATCGTCAATGGGAGTGTTGAATTGACACGGGTAAATAACTCATGTCATAAAATGTATCTACATTACCTTTTTCTAGGTACATCAAACTCTTAATCTGCATTTGTGTAATCAGATTGGTTACATTGTATACTTTTCTCATGGTGATAGACGTTAGCGGTCATTAAAACTTCAGCATACTTTTTATGCAGACAAAGATCTTCAAGTACTTGCGACTTGCCTTTGAATATATCACGTACTCATGCGTTATTCGCAATTCGCAGACAACAAAAAAGGCTCTAATAAAATGCACCCTTTACGACTTTCTTAGTGGGTCTCATCAATAACCATCTGTCATATCATGACGCAGAATGTATACGTTGTGTCTGCAGATAAATAATACATTTGCCCTTGAACTATGCTGACTCTGTGCTCTCGCAAGTACGTTCGTTCAGCCGGATTATTTTGCTCCGTTTCAGTTTCAATTTTCAGTTCCACGGTTGTAATTCAGTAAGAACTTGAATCGGCACTGTCATTAGCATTACGAGGTGCAGGGGATAAGCTCTAAACAAACTCATTTCCAATAAATACTTTATACTTTACCTCGGTAGATGTTATCTATCGCCTCTATCGGCAATTTAAGATGAAAGTGCCGTTAACATCGGAAAACATTCACTTGGCCCTAATGCTAAAATAGACGTGGTCCACAAAATCAACGTCTTTTTCTGAGGTTTAATATTTTTTTTCTCCAAAAAAGAAGCATATAAGGAATGTATATAAAATACTTCTCATACTAGGTATGTAAATTAAGTGATGAAACTGATTTTTTTATTTTTTATTCAAATATAATTACAATTTTATATTGCCACCCTCGTATAACTTTCTTCTGAAGCCACACAGCGTTGGAGACGGTTCTTCCACTCCTCATAGCTGTGCTGGAACTCTGAATGTTTTCGACTGTGCCAAAATCCCTTGAGTCCAAAATCCCTTCAGTTGATTTTTCAACCTCGGGAAGAGAAAAAAGTCACAAGGACTCAAGTCAGGCGAATAACGAGGCTGAGGAGCCACATGCCAAAAACTCGTTGATTCGCATTGCTGTGTGACAAGGAGCATTGTAGTAATGCAATACCCAGTTCTTGATCTGATGAACGGTGGTGTGAGTCAAATTTAACTCTTCCCTGATCATTCTGATTGACAACCGATGACCATAACGCACAAGATCCCGGTTCTGTCGATATTTTCATCGGTTCTTGAAGATGAAGGCCTTTCGCTTCGTGGTTCATCTTCAATCGACTCTCTCTGAAAATGCCTTAAACTACCTAAAAAGCCGGACTCCTGACAAAACACTATTTCCTGCTGAAGTTTAGCAAGAGTTTCCGTTGCACTGTGCCCAAGTGCGCAACCTGATAGCACACCGTTGCTCGAAATTGATGTCACTCATTTTTAGAACACAAGAAAAAACTGTTTCTCAAAAAAAATATTTAATGTACAACCAAATGACTCGAGCGAGTTCAAACTTGTACTGAAGGCGGATCACATTTTCCTCTGCCTTCCCTCCAAGCCCGGTGCATCCAGTGTTGCCAGATCGGACGTTATGTTGAAAGCATCATCACTTAATTTACGGACCATGCAGATGCGTTAAAATAAACTATACTTTGACTTTGTAAGTGGACATTTTAGAACTTGTTTTTTGAATTATCCTGCATGGATAGTGTTAAGTTTGTAAATAATAAAACACATCTCAACTTGTAAAAAATTACCATTCCTAAAAAGGCTTCAATTCGCGAGTTCAAACTTGTACTGAAGGCGGATCACATTTTCCTCTGCCTTCCCTCCAAGTCCGGCGAATCCAGTGTTGCCAGATCGGACGCTATGTTGAAAACATCATTACTTAATCTACAGACCTTGCACATGCGTTCAAATAAACTATACTTTGAATTTGTAAGTGGACATTTTAGAACTTGTTTTTCGAATTATCCTGCATGGATGGTGTTAAGTTTGTGAATAATAAAACACATCTCAACTTGTAAAAAAATACCATTCCTAAAAAGGCTTCAATTCCGTGACACTTCCGGGCACTTTAGCACTTTTTATTGCAAGGATCCTTTCTTCACAGGTATGAAGTCCCATTTTATCAATTTTTCACCTGCATTTCTGTGATCTTTTGAATACCAACTCTAACCTTTCTAAATGCTCACAGTCATGACTGCCCGTAACTAGAGTATCATCTAGAAAACATACAACCCCTGATATATCTACTAACATTTGTTCAATTATACTAAGTGACATATAAATCCGAACACCCAGTTTAAATGGTTTTATTTTAATAAAATTTTGTATAAGTACTTAATGAAGCATAATAAGTAAATGATAAAAATTTCAAAATTATTGCACTGCTTTAAAGCCCTTTGACCTTTAATAATGTGTGGATGCACCCTGACGTGCTACGCATTCTCCAACGCGCCTAAGCAACCACCAACTCCTCTCGAAGTGCTTCTAGAGTCTGAGGAGGACGTTGCAAATTGAGCAATCTCCTACCCATCATATCCCACACGTGCTCAATTGGGGATAAGTCGGGAGATCTTGGTGGCCAAGGTAACAATGTGACATCATTATGTTGAAAGTAGTCTATTGTGACTCTTGCAACATGTGGTCGGGCATTATCTTGTTGAAAAGTTGGATCTGTCAGGGTGTCAAGATAGGGCAAAAGATGGGGTTCTAGAACTTCGTGGATATAACGCTGCGCGTTCATGTTACCTTTGATGAAGATTAAAGGTGACCTGGAACCATAAGCAATAGCACCCCAAACCATAACTCCAACAGTGTGATGAACATGTCTTTCAACAAAAAACTGTGGATCCCTCCTTTCACCACGTCGCCTTCTAACCCTGGCACGACCATCGTGCATGCCTAAACAAAATCGAGACTCGTCACTAAAGACAATACTGTTCCATTCCTGATCCCAGAGTGACCGTTGTCTGCACCACTCAAGGCGATTACGTCGGTGTTCTCGAGTTAAAGGGAGGACCCAGTGTGGCCGTTATGAAAACAAGCCAAAACTTCTCATTCGTCGGTAAACACTTTGCATGCCAATAGGTCTTCCATGTTCTGCAAACCATTCATTTGCAATGAACCTGGTAGTGGAGAAACGGTCCCTTAAAGCCAATAATCTTAGGCGGCGATCTTCACGGTTTGTTGTTCTACGGCGGCGTCCAGTGCCCCTTGCTCTTTGCGTACGGCCTTCTCGAAGCCATGCCTGACAACACCTAACCACAGTGTCTACACTTCTTTGCACTCTAACTGCAATTGCCAGAAAAGAAAGTCCAGCTTCCCGAAGTCCCACTATACGGCCCCTATCAAACTCACTAAGTTGACGAAATCGTACAGGTCTCCGTACTCTAGGCATCGTAACCGATCGTAAAGGATGTCAAGAACTAAAATCCGCCAACGTTGATTCTTTACTGCGGCTGAAATATTCATTTTTAGAGCGTTAGTGAATTAAAAAAAAGCAGTATAAAAACCGGAATGTCCAACTGATAAGGCTGAAAATTTTTTCACTTGTTGTTTACAGTAAGATAAATACATTCACCAACTTTTATTAAAATAAAACCATTTAAACTGGGTGTTCGGATTTATATGTCACTTAGTATATGTTTTGAAAAATCCTGGTGCACAACTTATACCCTATGGTAAGGAAGTCTACAAGTAAAGACCCTTATGGGTTGAAATTGTAACCAGTTTCCTAGACTCTTCCTGAAGTTCTGTTTGCTGATAAGAATCCGAAATTTCCGAAAATTTTTCAGCTTGTGGCAACTGAAAAAATCAATACTGGTACAATAGGGCTTGATCACTCAACCGAAATTTTGTCTCTTAAAGAAAAGGGTACTGTCTTGGTTTGCACAATTTCGGCACAGAATTCTTATTTAGTTTTAGAAAAAAATTAAATTTTTTAAACGTGACTATTGTTTTTATCAAATAATGCACTATATATTTTTAGAAGTAAGTAAATGTTGTGAACGCTATTTGTCAGAGTGATGTTATTCAATGCAAGAGACTTATCAAGTTTTATTATGCTCATATTCAGCATTTGTAACCCGTTTCTTCCGATTAATGGATCTTATGACATACGTTTTCAAAAAATAATGCTTATCCTAGCATCAAGAATTTAAACATAGTATAAGAGTTAAGTGCTTTCTGATCTCACCTCGTAATTTTGACTCGATTTTACAACCGACAAATTCTCGCATCTTCTAAATATTAATCAAATGCTTATCATTGAATTTATATTGCCACTGAAGTTCATGAATAAAATAATTCTCAAAGGAACGTCGTTATTTCCTCTAACGCATTTAATATCGACGAATGATCGTTGGATGTTTCAGTAAATGTAATTTTACTTCACTTTATTACATTTTACATGCAAATTGATAGTTTGAGCATCAAATATAATTTTGTTATCTGAAATTACCCTGCAGAGATGAAGCTTTATAATTTATTACATCTTCAATAAAGATGTCTTGTGACAATGATGATAAGGCGGACGTTTCGGAGGAAGTAATATTAAATATTGCTGTAAATCGTTTGAGGCTGTTTAACTATCGTCACTTTTAGATAATGGATATAATTGATGCACACTGAATATGACTAATGCTTTAACATCTATAATAGATAATAATTTGCTATTTCATAATGCATTTTTCCTTTTACTACTAATACTAGCATATGTTATGTACGAGTTTTAATAGAAAAGGGCATTGTATTGCATATTCTTGACAAGGTAATAAAACAATAATCGATGATAATTACAAAGAGATACTTGGAACTAATGCATTCGAACAAAAAACAAATCGAATTAAAACTAATACTAATCGTTAAGGATGCCTACGTCAAAGGTGAGACTACGAGTATTACAAAATATACTAATTAACGGATACATGTTCATTAGATTTGTAAGCTTTGGAGGTTTGTGAGTATATTATTGGAAAATATAAAGCAGTTAAAGATATCTTATAGATCCGAATTTAGCTTTGTCTTAAGTTACAAGAAACAGATGGCAAATTGTTCCACATATTCGACATTATAAGAACCAAGGAGCTGTCGAGCTGTGATTTTGCTTGTTTCATATGCAGCAGTAACGTTATCAAATAATAACAAATGCATCCGTAAGTCGCGCTTCAGAGCAACTGAACAATTTATTTGACCTTTGTTACTAAGAATTTTCGACTGTAGCATATTTTGCAAACAAGTTTATATCAGTACTGTATCCATTAAATCCAGTGTAGCGCAAGTCCGTATTCATATTTACAGGGTGACTTCGAAGTTGAGTCATTTATTTTAACAGTGAGTAGATCTGATCAAAAGAAATGTTTTTTCCTATAACATTTTTCTGGTAAAATTAAAGCAACATAGTTATAGCCCTTTAGTCCTTTAGAAGTTTGAGTATCGTCCTGTCTCAATAATAATATTATGTGCTCGTGTTTGGCAACAAGCCCAGCTCTGCGTCGAGCAAAACGGAAATATTTCGGACAGTTTTTGTGACATGCTTTTGGGCGCACAGGTCCGCACTGAAATACTTACCGGGAGGATACTTTATAAAACAAGGTAACATTTTTTTTTTATTTTTACACTCATATTTTGGTTTATCTTCCTCCTATTATTATCTGAAAATTAATGACTCAACTTCAAAGTGTATATTTTCCGCAAAAATCTCCTTTTTGGTACCACTCGTGCCAGCTTTTTGCGTTGCAATTTTGCCGAGCGGCGGTACCGCTCATTAGTCCCTATTGTTTCCGAGACGTGTGGGCTCTATTTATATGGGGTACGGCCAGGATAAACGAGCGCTCTGTATGTATGTAAGCGACCTGGCTCCGTCGGCCGATACCCTAATGGGCGTAGGCCGCACCGAGAGAGCAGTGGTTCTGGAAAAAAGGTACGACCGGACTCGCAGACACAAAGGGACTTTCATGGCTCCGTTCGCGCACGGTGGCTGTGGGCGGGTCGATATACACGCACGGGCGATTTTTTTTATTAGTGGTCACAATGCCTTGTAGTCCGGTCTTCAAGGGATAAATCAGGCAGGAATCTAGGAGCATTTTGGTTAGATAGAATATCCGTTCGGAAAGCTTGGCGTAGTTGTACCAGATACAGGGTGTTCCTTAATGATATGCGAAGATTTAAGGGTGTGAATCTACATGAAAAACACTGGACAACAAATTTTAGATTTTTAATTGTATCTTGTGGGAAAAGTGCACTTCTTTGTTAATTTTGGGGCGCTGAATCCAAAAATGACAATGAAATAAAAAAATTAGATGCGGTTTAGAAAAAAAACTTTTTATTTTTAAGGATATATTGAAAAAAGTAACAAGATTCATATACTTATAAGAATCACTATATGCGCTGTCTTTTTGCTGTTCTTTTATGGATCGTTTCTGGAGCATCTCTACCAAGAGTCCAACAGTAGTCTGCAAGCATGGAAGGATTCCACTTGCCCTGGTACCTTTTTTCCATTGTTGAAATATCCTGATGAAAACGTTCGCCGTGCTCATCACTTACGGCTCCGCAATTGTCAGGAAAAAAGTCCAGGTGTGAGTGTAGGAAATGTATCTTAAGAGACATATTACAGCCCATCTTTTGATACGATGACAGCATATTTTTGACAAGGGTTTTATAGTTGTCAGCGTTTCTATTTCCCAAGAAATTAGTGACCACCAGACGGAAACCATTCCAAGCAGTTTTTTCAATACCTGTTAAAGTGTTTTCAAACTGTGTATCTTTCAAAATATTTAGAATCTGTGGCCCAACAAGAATACCTTCTTTACCTTTGCCTCACTTAGTCTTGGAAATTTCTGACGCAGGTATTGAAAAGCTGACCCATCTCTATCTAATGCCTTGTCAAAGTTTTTCATTAGGCCCAACTTGATATGCAGTGGTGGTAATAACATTTTTTTCGAATCTACTAATGGTAGTACATTTTTTTGACCTGGCTCTAGGAATTGACGAACAGGCCAGTTTTGTCTGGTGTAATGAAGTGCCTTTGCCCGAATGTCCCATTCACACAAAAAACAGCAAAACTTTGTGTAGCCTAGCTGCAGCCCAAGTAAAAGTGCAACAACTTTCAAATTGCCACAAATATGCCATTGGTGCTCATCGTATTTTATGCATGTCAATAGGTACTTCATATTGTCATATGATTCTTTCATGCGAACTGCATACCCTACAGGAAGAGATGGTAAAATATTTCCAATATGCAATAACACTGCCTTTAAACTCAATGTTGAACTGTCTATAAACAATCTCCATTCTTCTGGGTTATAGTTTATATTTAAAGCCGCCAGTAAGCTGTTAATGTTACTGCAGAAAACCAAGTTATTCTCCATATTGAAAAATGGTTCTAAGTCTTTGTGGCGTTTACGAAAAACACATGCCGAAACATCGTCTTCTAACAAGTTCCACTGCTGCAGTCTTGATCCAAGTAACTCTGCCTTACATTTTGGAAGTGCTAAATCTCTTACAAGATCATTTAATTCTGACTGTGTTATTTTGTGCGGATGGTGGCATGACGTGCTCGGTATAAAATCAGGATCTCTTGACGTTGATGGCATATCTTCTTCCTGAAGAATCACTCGATCGCCATGATCTGATTCGTTTTCTGATTCGCAAGTGCAGGATTCTGGGGGTTTTGGAATAGGATTTTCGTCACTGTGAGGCACAGGTCTCATCGCAGATGGTATGTTTGGGTAGTTAATAACCGATTTTTTTTTCTTGGACATACCTGTGGCTTGTCCAACACAAGGTACCATGCAAAAGTAACAATCATTAATATGATTTGTAGGCTCTTTCCAAACCATTGGGACCGTTTTTTGCCATTTAACCAGCTCCTCAGACTTGAAGCACATGTATTACAGCAGATGTGGGGTGCCCACTGTTTGTCTTGATCACCTAGTTTACAACCGAAATAAAGCTGATATGCCTTTGTTATTAGTGGAGTAATAGACCGTCTCTGAGACGCAAAAGTCACATCACCACACACGTAACAAAACTGATCTGGATTGTTTACACACTTTCGAGACATCTTGCATGAACGCTGTCAGCCAACCGAGGAAAAAATGACTAATATAAAACAATATAATAATATATATATATATATATATATATAAACGTAACACAATCATGCCGAGTACATCATCTTTCCTTGCCGAATATAAAAATGTAGCACGTGCATTCTTGTGAATTACAGTATATTAACACTGTCACAGCAGGAACACATAATTACCGTATCTCTAAAACTTGAACTAATATTGAAAAAATAAGTTTCATTCCGGTTTTAGCACATTAAAAATAGTAATATTTTGTTGATTTTATTTAGGATATTTTTTGGCTGTTGATCAGTGTTATTTTTGAATTCCCCGTTCAATTTGAAACAAATGATCTCTCTTGAGTTGCTTTCCCTCGATGCGCTATTTTTGAGTAAAAAAATAAAAACCGTTCTATTGTCTAACTTGAAAAATTATTATTAATTTAATTGCAAAAAATAAACACATTAGGGGTAATGAACAACAACAACTGACAACATAAACATAACATTAAAAGCAACGAAATAATTACAAACATTTTTGAAAACGGCCCCCTTTACTTGGTATGCATGCTTCCGCCCTCCTTCTCATGGAATTGCGCACTGATTGAAATAGCCCTGGAGTGGCACGCACTGAAAAACATCTTGGTCATCTTCTGCAAGCTTGACTCATTTTGTCTTTGTGGAAAGCATCCAATGCATGGTATGCTTCTTCTCTTTACCTTCATCTGAACAAATATTCTTTATTTCCAAGGTTTCGGAGATCATGGTGGGCCTTCAAACGTTTAATCAGAACAGAAATCACGAAACAGACACAGCTGTAATTTATCTCAGTGACAAGCTAGATGCGTTGACATTCAGTACACTATCTGACCCGGATATTAAGATACATTTGAAATTGAAATTAAATAAACGCATTCAAAAACTCGTCTCCAC